TCTCCCCAACTCAAACAATTCAATAAAAAATAGTGAAGGTTTTATACCATTCCATGTGGTGTTGGAAACCTAAAACAAAACAGCACCACATGTGTGTTCAAAAACCAGGAAGTACAACTGACTTATAAATTAGATTTCTGTTTTGACTTAACACCTGTTAAGAGAAAACTATTGTGTTGACAGTGGCCCCATAAGCTTTGAGGTCCTCAATACTACCAGTGCCTGCCTGGTTAAGTCAGTTATTCATCACCTCTTATAGTAATCTTATCTCAGTAGAGGAAACTATTTGTCAAAAGAAACAGCACCTCACGCACCAACTGCTACCTCGCAAGGCAAGAGAATTGGTGGTTCTCAACCTTTTTAAAAACTCAAGGAACCCCTCAGAATGTGGCAGGTCTTAGTTCTCACTTATTTTCTGACTACAGTAAGAAAAAAAAAGACCAATTCTTCTGTTGCAAAGAACTCAGAAAGACCACTGCAGGTCAGAATTTTCTGTTAATACTATAGAATCCCATTTGAAACCTCTGGGTTTACCTCATGAATCGTGTCTGCCACATGGCACCCTGGTTGAGAATCACCACACTAGTGACTTACATTTACAAAGAAGTTTTTGCCAGGCTCTGTGCTTTCACAGTAAACCTTGGAGCTTAACCCAGTTCATGCTGACAGGATAAGATGAACATTTAATTTTATGTCAGGTCATGCAGGTGGCATGTCTAGTCAGTATTTATCTTGGCAAGTTTCTGCTGTGGCCCAGTTTTGTGACCCAAGTGTCAGGAAAAACACTGCATCACACTTCGCTAGCATAATACAAACATTTTTTGAAATTGGCATTTGAGGGACCAACAAACCACAAAAACAGGTAGCCAAGAACTAACAAATTTTTGGCCACCTAACTTTGACCCTTTTTCCAAATTTACCTATTTATAGGTCTTGTTTGCCAAGGCCACATAATTACATGCAAGAGAAACTTTAAAGCCTTTATTATAAAAAAAAAAAAAAGACGTGAAAATTGCAAGAGTGACCCCCCATCCCGCAACCCCATCAGGAACAAAATATCTGTATCACCAGTAACTGAAACCCCATTCCCCCACCACACTTCAAGGGAATTACACATTTAGGACTAGCCATCTGTCTGCCACCTTGCACAATGCCCCTGAATAAGCCCAGCATGACACAAACTTGTCCACATTTTGCTGCAAGATGAAGTGTCCATACTCAACTAAGACCCATGCCTGGTCCAGGAAGTCAGAGTTAGAGCCAGTCCCTGCAACTAAAGTGACACAGGTTTTCCACCAAACATCCAGCTAAAGAGCTTTCATAACCACTACCAAGCTATTGCATTCCCTTACGCAATGGCCTCAGCTTCCTACACTTGTGTTACTACCAAAAAGGCCACCTAGGGACTCCAAATCCATGCTCTCAAACCTGGAACATTAGTCTTTCTGTTTGTAATCCTGTTTTTACTTAATCATTTCATTTATTGGTTACATTACAATTACTTAAAGCAAAGCCTGAAAGCTTTCTGACAAAGGTTCTTTGACAAGAAACAAGGGTTTCCCCATGATGCAAACAAATCTGCTTGTTTCACATCATTCTGAGACAGCACAGACATACAACCATATATGCTTAAAATGCCTTTTAAAAAACAAAAACAAAAAAAAAAAGCAAACGAGAGCCATTAATATTCCAAGGTTTTATATTTTTGTTGGAAATGCTTTGTAGGTTTCATATCTACTGGAAAGAAGCAAGATCACCAAAATTCCACATCCTTATCCCCACATGCAAACTCATGACAATATGGTGCCAAGTATTATGCTCCCTCCACTACTGCTTCAGAGTGTAACAGCAGCTCTAGTACCTGTGCAAATACAGGCTTCTAGAGGCCCATTTTGACTCACCATCCTTTTTACCCACTGTAAAGAAGTTGGACATTGGGTAAGTTTTTATGTTACTGGCCTACGCTAGCACCACCACTACTCATAGTGCAGCTGTATTGAGGAGAAGCTGAACAACATCTAGTATTCCTTTTTCAGATCAGTCCTCATGAGTCTAAAAGGTACAAGACTAATTTTGCCAATCATGCAAGTGCATCCTAGTGGTCCTAGAATAGGCATATTGTTAGCCAGCAAGCAACAAATGTTACTAGTGTACTTAAAAAAAGAAAAGGAAAAAAGTGACTCTGACAATAAGAAACGTCTCATTTTAAGATGTATCATCTATTTGCCATGAGATAGATTCGGTTACCAAAAGTCAGACTGTGTACAAAGAACTCACCTTAAAATTCTCAACTAAGAGCATGCTGGACATTAATTCCTCCCTTTTACAAGATAATAACTGAGCAGCTACACTCAGAAGTCAGCTTGGAAACCTGGATGAGCAGGGACTGTTTGTGGGATGTGGAGCTTTTACCCTTTACATCATTAGCTGAGATCAAGACCTGTTTAGCAAATCTGCCTACCAACGAATCAGGCCAAACACAGCAATTTTTTGTCTACGTTCGACCAATTGCTAATTATTTAAGTCACTGATTTCTTTAAACAAAGTTTATCTTTGTCACTTAAGCCAGCAGTATCAATGGAAATGATGCCAACTCCAAATGTTCCTAAACTTCAAAATGGCTAGTTCTGTGGGAGTATTTATCTTATTTGGGGTGGGCTAGAAAGGCAAGTGTACACTAGTGTAAATAGAAAGTGTAAATTGGTGTAAAAGGAGATGCCATATTGTATAGCTTTGTACAGGTGTAACTAATAGAAACCAGAGGTAGTTTTTTGTCCTGCCTGACTCCAAACTATTTATAAGTGCACCTTAAACTAAGTACTTGTATAAGGCGGGCCTGTACTTTGACTTAATAGAATAGTGCAGAGGCAGAAAAGGATCTTGGCCCATGTTCATCTTGGCATCAATAATGACTCCAACAGTGTGGGGACGTGGTCAGGAAGGCCAATCATACCTTGTCATGCATCCACAGATGCATCTCGAGCAGATCCAAGGAGGTGATCCTCCCCCTCTATGCGACACTGATCAGGCTGCAGCCGGAGTACTACCTCCAGTTCTGGGCGCCGCGCTTCAAGAGGGATGTGGACAACATGGAGAGGGTCCAGAGGAGGGCCACTCGCATGATCAGGGGGCAGCAGGGCAGGCCCTACGAGGTGAGGCTATGGGACCTGAACCTGTTCAGCCTCCACAAGAGAAGGCTGAGGGGGGATCTAGTGGCCTGTTACAAACTAGTCAGAGGGGACCAGCAGGCATTGGGGGAGTCCCTGTTCCCCCAAGCACTACCAGGAGTGACTAGAAATAACAGTCACCCCACTGGCAGAGGGCAGATATAGACTAGATATCAGGAGGCGCTACTTCACTGTCAGGGCAGCTAGGATCTGGAACCAACTTCCAAGCGAAGTGGTGCTGGCTCCTACCCTGGGGGTCTTTAAGAGGAGGCTAGAGGAACACCTTGCTGGGGTCAGTTGACCCCAGTACTCTTTCCTGCCGTGGCAGGGGGTCAGACTTGATGATCTGTTCAGGTCCCTTCCAACCCTACCAACTATGAAACTATCTAGCAGTTTAGACAAGGACAAGTCAACAGCCAACACCAAACTAGTAACATGGTTCTGAACATTACTATGTTAGTAAAAAACAGCACCTTAACTGCTTTTAGGTGGCAGGTCAGCTGAAAGACTTTAATAGGGTCCATTTACAGTAGCAATACGTGTACAGTGCTCATGTAATAATGCATGAGTGATACACTATAATAGATTATGTAAATTTATGTTATTATAATATTATTATAATAAGGGGGAGCTGAAGAACAGGAGGCAATGGTGGGGGTGGTGCCAGGTGTCAGAGGGAGGCCTGGACTCATCCCTTTCTAGTATAACAATAATAATATATATTAGGCCTGAGCTGCCACATGCTGTCAAACAGCCCCCAAGACATGCGAATCTAAGTTTTGTTTTTTCTTTTTAATAATATATTTCATGTTCCAAGTCAAATCAGACAAATCCATTCCAAATCGCATTCAACAGAGCAAAACTTGATCATTGCAAAACCCGTATCGACTGAGCAGGCAGAACTCAATCGTTCCAAACACCACGTACAGCACTGCAAACAGCAAGCACCCTCTATCCCAGACTTCTCACCCTGGGGCTTCAGATATTCCCAAATCCATAGGCAGGCATCCTACATGCAGGCCCAAGCCCAGAGGTCTTGGTGTGTGGCTGCCCCCAGATACTACAGACAAGCTTCCTCCACCCCAGACTCTTTAGTCCAGAACTTCAGATACTCCCTATGCACGATCTTAACCCACAAGTATCTAAGTCCAACAGCAACTGGTCCTCCAGCAAGCCAGGGAGGGAGAGTGGAAGACAGCCAGCCTCCCTCACGAAGGGGAGTGAAGACCTCTCACAGACTGGCCACTCTTTGCTCACAAGGGAGGGTGACCCACCGGGTCGTGAGGGAAGCTGGGGTCCTCTCCACAACCCCTGAGCAGGACAGCTCCTGGCCCCAGCCCTGCGGCACTCCAGCCCCTCTTCGCCACCCTGCCAACCAGCCCCTCTCGGGGTGGGCGCCACCTTCCTCACCCCCGTGTCTTTGAGCACTTCCAGCGCCCCTTGGGGGTGTCAAACGCTGGTTTGAGGGGGGGTGCCAACCCCTCGGGCTCCTGTCTGCGGGCACCTCGCCCGCCCCGCGCAGCCCACTCCCAGCCCAGCCGAGCAGAGACAGCAAGAACCCGGCGCTGCTCGCTCAGACAGGATTTTAAAACGGGTGGTGAGGCGCACAGCCATGTCTGACGCGACAGGTGCGCCCGGCCGACTGCTCAGGCAAAGGGGCCCAGCTCGTGCTCCCCGCCTCCCCCAGACCACTGCAGGGGCGAGGGCGGCAGCCGGCCCCGAACCCGCGGCCCCTGGGGCGCGGCGGGGGAGGAGGGGCGCCTAGACCCCCGCAGCCACTACCCCCCGCACCCGGAGGGTCCGCGCGACGTGCCGTGCCTTGTGTCCCCTCACCTGGTCCCGCCGTCGCCCCGTCTCCTCCGGCCGCCGCAGGAGCAGCCGCCACCGCTCCTGCCCCCGCCCCCCCTCCCTTATTGCCTCCTGCCTACCCTATAGCGTCATCATCGCACGAGGCCGTGGCAGCCAATGGGAGGCCGGGTCTGTCAGGAGGCGCGCGCCGCGCGCCGTTCTCCAGGGGCTGCTGGGTCTTGTAGTCGGGACCGCCGCGAGCGGCAAGGGGTAGTGCGCATGCGTCTGTCGCACGCAGTGGGCGCGAGCAGTCGGAGCGTTTTCCGGTCCTCCGCCTTCCTTAGCTGACGCGGATGACATCACGCCGCTCTCTGCGGCCGGTTCTGAGTCACGTGGCGTCCGGCCCCCTCTGATTGGCTATGGGGAGCTGGTGACGTGCGCGCGGGCTTTTTCTGTCCTCTGAGCGCGCCTCAAGCCTGGCTGAGCAGGTGTAGGAGGGTGGTTGCGCTGCGCTCCTGACGTGTGGGGAGCCCGCGCTGAGTTGAGGCTATGGCTACGCCCGTGAGGGGTGGGTAGTCACCCTCACAAAAGTGTCTATATATACATGTGTGTGTGTGTATGTATGTTGGGTTCACAGGACGTATGTGTGTGTATACACGCACATATATAGATATATAGATAAACAGGGGTAGAGACATTGGTAGATTAAGATTTATTGGGGCCCTGGGCAAAAAGAAAATTGGAGGGCTGCTCTCCCCACCCACAGTTAAACTGCCATCAAAGACAACCTGCAGTGGCTGTTGCCCTCGTGGGCCCATGCATTAATCCACCTCTGGTGAAGATGCACCTTTATTGGTTAACTACATTATTTATATGTATATATATGTCATCACCAATCTCAGGGTTGAGGATCACTGCCATGGGTCAAGTTGTAGATGAGTCCACAAAACGGGGGGGTGGTGAAGCACTGGAATAGGCTACCCAGAGAAGTCTTGGAATCTCCACCCTTGGAGGTTTTTAAGACAAGAGTAGACAAAGCTTTGGCTGGGATGATCTAGTTGCGGATGGCTCTGTTTCGAGCAGAGCTGGACTAGATGTGACCTGAGGTTTCTTCCAACCCTAATTTTCTATGATTCTAGA